GTGGCAGGATTGGGGACAGGGGACACAGGGATGGAAGTACACAGGGGACATGCTGGGGACACTGGGCACCAGGAATTTTATCAGGCTGGAGACAGGGGACATAGTGGCACACACGGGACACACAGGGGGGACAGGGATGGTGGCATACAGGGGACAAGGAGACACAAGGATGGCAGCAGGCTGGGGGCAGGGGACATGGGACACAGGGATGGCAGCACACAGGGGACACACTGGGCACTAGAGGAACAGGGGACACAGAGGTGACAGCAGGCTGGGGACAGGGGACACTGGGATAGTGGCACACAGGGGACATGGGACACTGGGCACCAGGATGGCGGCAGGCTGGGGACAGGGGACACACTGGGGATAGGGGGCACAAGGCACCAGGGCTGGCAGCACATGGGACTCCACGGCCCCAGTGGGGACAGCAGCACATGGGAAACACTGGGGACACACTGGTGGCTTAAGGGACACAGGGCACAGGGGGGAGGGCACAGGAGCCCCAGGAGAGGGGTGCAGAGGACACCAGGCGTGTCCCCAAGACAGCGTGTGCCGGGCAAGGGCGGTACAAGGGACATGGGGCACTGGGTGTGGTAGCACAGGGGACATGGGACACATGTGGCACATGGGACAGTGTCACGTGGGACATATGACACACAGGACACTGGGGGGGGGCAGCACAGGTGACACACAGGGCCCTGGGGGTGACAGTGCAGGGGACACATGGGACAGCAGCACATAGGACACAGGGTCCGGGGGTGGCAGCACAAGGAGCAGAGAGGACACGTGGGGCCCAGGGGGTGACAGCACAGGGGACATGGGGGACACACAGGGCCCTGGGGGTGACAGCACAAGGGACACCAGGGCTCTGGGGACACCAGACCCAGCACAACACACACAGAGTCCCCAGGCGCAGGGGACAGGTGCCACACACCGTGTATGACACCGGCCACACCAACACAGGGACAAAGGACAACATGCACAGGGGTGTCCCTGAGCCCAGGGGACAGCCCAGGCACAGGGCAGCTCCCCAGGGACACGTGTGTCACACACAGGACACTGGAGTCACCATCCCTCAGCACAACCCCGCAGCCCCCCCACATCACTGTGCGACCTTGGACTGTGACACGGTGCCAGAGCACGTGTGTCACCGCGTGTCCCCACAGTCAGAAGTGTCACCTGCACTCCCCGCCGGGCTGCCAGGGAACCAAACGGGCAGCAACAAGAGCAACGAGAGGAGAACAGGAGGAAATTGAGCCCTAAAGCAGCAATTCCTGGACGGCTGCTCAGGCTCCATCCTGATTTTGGGGGTTTGAGATCACGCGGGGTCTCCAGTGGGGGAAAGGGGAGTGTGAACCCCCTCAGCGGAGGCGCCAGGGACAGGACGTCACTCACAGGCCTTCTGACCCCGAAATGTCGGTCACTTCTGCTGAGGAGCCGAGGTTTGGACAACAGGCCCCAGCCAGCGCTGACCTGCCATCCCGCGTGTTTTATAACCGACGCCCCCCGTGCCAGGGGGTGTTGAACCACGTGACAACAAACCACCTGGTCTGGTAGAAAAAGTGCTCAAGTGTTGAAGTGTTGGGGCCTGTTCAGGCCCCGAGGTGAGGCTGCGGAGTCATTAACGAAATGTGTGCTCATTAATGAAAGATACGGCTTAGAACATAATCAATGGTGAGGATGAAACAACGAGAATGAATCAGAATCATCTCGGTTGGAAAAGCCCTTGCAGCCCCTCCAGCCCAACCATGACCCTCCCCCTGACCGTTCCCAACTCCCCCAGATCCCTCAGCGCTGGCTCAGCCCGACTCTTCAACCCCTCCAGGGATCCCGGGGACTCCCCCCTGCCCTGGGCAGCCCATTCCAACGCCCAACAGCCCCTTCTGCACAGAAATCCTTCCTCAGAGCCAGCCTGACCCTGCCCTGGGCAGCTTGAGGCCATTCCCTCGGGGCCTGGCGCTGGGGCCTTGGCTCCAGAGACTCATCCCCCCTCTCTGCCCCCTCCTGGCAGGGAGTTGCCGAGGGCCAGGAGGTCTCCCCTCAGCCTCCTCT